TGGATACTGTTGTTGTTGTTAGGTGCCATCGAGTCGGAACTGACTCATAGCGACCTTATGCACAGCAGAACGAAACAATGTCCCATTCTGGGCCAACCTCACTACTGTTGCCATACTTGAGTCCATCAATGCTGCCACCTGGCCAATCCATCTCATTGGGGGTCTTCCTCTTTTTCTCTGACCCTCCATCTTACCAAGCATGATTTCCTTCTCTAGCAACTGTTCCCTCCTGACAATATGTCCAAAGTATGAGAGACGAAGTTTGGCCATCTTGGCCTCTAAGGCGCACTCTGGCTGCACTTCTTCCAAAACAGACCTATTGGTTCTTTTGGCAGCCCATGGCACTTTTAGTATTCTCCTCCAACACCATAATTCAAAGGCATCAATTCTTCTATGGTCTTCCTTATTCACTGTCCAGCTTTCGCATCCATATGAGGTTATTGAAAATACCATGGCTTGGGTCAGGTGCACCTTAGTCCTCAAGCTGACATCTTTGCTCTTCAACACTTTCAAAAGTTCCTGTGCAGCAGATTTGCCTAATGCAATACGTCATCTGATCTCTTGACTGCTGCTTCCGCGAGGTTGATAGTTGATCCAAGAAGAATGAAGTCCTTGACAACTTCAATCTTTTCTCCGTTGATAAGAATGTTGTTTATCGGTCCAGTGGTGAGGATTTTTGTTTTCTTGACATTGAGATGTAATCCATACGGAAGGCTGTGCTCTTTGATCTTCATCAGTAAAGGTTTTAAGTCCTCTTCACTTTCAGCAAGCAAGGTTGTATCATCTGCATATCGCACGTTGTTAATGAGTCTTCCTCCAATCCTGATTGGATACTACTAAGTGGAAATTGAAAATAATATGCTTTTGTCTCACTTTGAAAGCTTTGCCTAGAATTGGCAATCAGTGTGGATATTTATCTGCTAAATAAGGTGGTACTCTGAGCTCAGTTTATATGTAAAGGATGCCACCAACTTGGTTTATTCAGAATTGATTATTGTCCAAGGTAGTATAGAAAATTTACATTTCTTTCAATCTCTCAATGATTTCAGGATGGAAAACAAAGGTACTTTGGGTAACTAAGTCAGATTAGCTATGACTCTGGGGAGGAAGGAAGGAAATGGGACTGAGGAAGGTTCGTGCGTGTTCATTGTCATGAATGTCTGATTTCCGTGGTTGGGAAGCATGTAAGTGAGCGATCTAGTCAGTTATTTATTTTCCTTTATCCCTTTTGGTAAGCCACAAATGTTTCATTAAATTTAAAAAAAAAAAAAAAAAACAGCCTGTTTTAAATGAAAGCAAATAATATGAAAATAGATTTATCCAATCAGTATAATATGAGAAATAAAAATACTTCATTATTAAATCCATTCTTAAATCTTCAAGATTTCATTCTCATTTTATTGAAGAACTTTAATAATAATAATACCTTTATTTTAAAGATTTCTTCTCCTTGTTCCCCACTTCTTCATGCTCTTGAGTCCAGGTTGTGTGAGGTGCACTGGAAGGAGCTTTGTTTTGACATGAGATAGATCGGGGTCTAAATCTCATCCCTGAAATGTACTGCCCACGAGGCCTTAAATCATTGGTTATTTCTAAGCCTCAGCTTCCTCTCCTATGAAAATAGAGTTTTACTCTACCTTGCTCTCAGAATTATTATGAGGATTAAATAAAATAACTGTGGAAATGTTTGTTACAGCGGCTGGTACATATTAGGTTTCCAGTTAATAGTAGTTACTCCCTTTCTTTCTTTATCTTTCTACTTTTCTGTACTTCTTGAGGTTATACTCCAAAAAGTTATAAAGAGAGGACAGGAAATTAATTTAAAATAGAAAGAATATTGTGTAAGCCCTAATGACAGTATTGTGTTATTAACAAAGGTATGTCCTAGATCCATGGTCCCATATCCTAACATTTTTAAAAATCTAATATTTCTTACAAAAATCTCACCATAATTGATTTAAGTATAATTTTAAAAAAACTGTTTAGTTTTGCTTTTATCTCTAACAATGGAACTTCCGCAGATAAAATGTGTTCTGTTTTATGACATCTAGCTATTGATCAGGTTATGAGTCGGGCTGCCAACCTCAAAGTCAGCAGTTCGAAACTCTCAGCGGTTCCGCAGAAGAAAGATGAGGCTTTCTGCTCCCGTAAAGATTTACAGCCTCAGAGCCTCTTTGCAGGGTCGCTATGAATCGGAATCGACTCCACAGCACACCACCACCACCACCATTTATTGCTCAAGTCCTGGCGAGGCACTGTGGGTTAATGTGCTAGACTGCAAAGTCGGTGGTTCAAGCTCACCAGCTGCTCCTTGGAAGCCCTATACAGGGTTCTATGAGTCAGAACTGATTCTACGGCACTTAACAACAACAAGAACGACATCTAGTGCTCATCCTTTCTACAACGTAAGTATCCTTATCAAAATATTTTACTTCTAGTGCTGGACCAGATAAAAGTGCTTAAAGAATTTCTGAAGGCTTCAGTAATCACTCTCATCATAGTCATTTCTGAAAGTCAAGTTCTTCTCTGCCACACACTACTACTGTAACCCACACGTCTTTTACCCACTTTGGAGTCTAGTTTTTTTTTTTTAATGTGCTAAATGGGGAGATTGGATTAGATGATTCCTTTAACTGAAAAATTCTGTCAATTACTCAACTACCAAAGTAGATGATGAAGATCAAAGAGCACAGCTTTCGGTATGGATTGCATCTCAGTGTAAAGAAAATGAAAATCCTTACCACTGGACCTATAAACAACATTCTTATCAATGGAGAAAAGATTGAAGTTGTCAAGGACTTCATTTTTCTTGGATCAACTATCAGCACTCATGCAAGCAGCAGTCAAGAAATCAAACAACATATTGCATTAGGCAAATCTGCTGCACAAGATCTTTTTAAAGTGTTGAAGAGCAAAGATGTCAGTTTGAGGACTAAGGTGCGCTTGACCCCAGCCATGGTATTTTCAGTAACTTTATATACATGTGAAAGCTGGACAGTGAATAAGGAAGACTAGAAGAATTGATGCTTTTTGAGTTACGGTATTGGAGGAGAATATTGAAAATACCATTGACTGCCAAAGTAACAAACAGATCTGTGTTGGAAGAAGTGCAGCCAAGTGTTCCTTGGAGGCCAGGATGGCCAAACTTTGTCTCTCATACATTGGACATATTGTCAGGAGGGACCAGTTGTTGGAGAAGGATATCATGTTTGATTAGGTGGAAGGTCAGAGAAAAAGAGGAAGACCCCCAGTGAGATTGATTGGCCAAGTGGCAGCATCGATGGACTCAAGCGTGGCAACAACAGTGAGGTTGGCCCAGGTTCAGGCAGTGTTTCATTCTGTTGTGCATAGGGTCACTATGAGTCAGTACCGACTCAATGGCACCTAACAACAATGACATTAATATTCTAGTTAAGTCGGCAATGACACTTTCAGTGGGAAATATTCTTTAATTGTGTGTTGTTTGTGAAAACTACACACATGTTGGTGGCTTCTTCTGAACTTTAGGGAGGGGGCTCTGGCACCCGTTCCCAAGCCTGCCCACTTGGCATCTTCTCAGGACGTTGTGGTGGCATACGTGACCCAGCTTTGTCAAGAGGTGTTTCAAAGAGCAATAAAAGATTAACTTTTCAGTGAAAAAATTACTTTTTGCATTGCTTTTTGAGTGGGGAAAGACAGCACATACCTTTGTAGTCCAGTAAACCAGTACCCCCGCCCCTTTAAAAAAAAGTAAATATGGGAATAGAGAGTTGAGTTGGGGAAAATGAGAATATTAGACGGAAGAAGTAAGAAAGATAAAGCCCCTAACTTTATATTTTTATACAGGTGAAATGTGGTTTAAGTGACTTGGAGGCCCGGAGGGGAAAACTTTCAGAGTCTGTGCCAGGGGAGGAGCAGTCTGCCTTGGGTGTGTGTGTGGGGGGTATTTACATGCTGACACTAATTGTATTTTATTGCACTGATGCTTCCCCCTTCTTTTCCTACTCCTCTCTGTTGTCCTGGCTTTCTGCAGCTGTGCCTGTCAGTCCCCAAACTAGCTTGATCTCCACCTCTTCAGGACTAAAGGCATTAGCTTAAGTTCTTGTGCTCTTTCCAAATTCTTTACTTTGATATATATATATGTATATATATTGGACTTATTTTAAGATTCTAGGTGTTGTTGCTGTTAAGTATCATTGAGTTGGTTCCAACTCACAGCAACCCTCTATAGGGTTTCTGAGGATTGAACCTGCCAACTTTGTGATTCAAACTGACATTGCAGTCCAGTACGTATCCTATAGTATCACACCAGGACTCCTAAATTCTGGATAGATTCCTCTTTCTTCTCCCTGTCTGTGATCCCTTAGAAGAAAAGAAAACATTAAGAACGCCTTGCCTTTATGTAGGTCTTAATATTTTTGCAGACCAACTCTGGAGCTATGGTGGTTAGAGAGCTCCAAAAGGTCAGTAGTGCCCCCCACTAACCACTAGGCAGGCTGCTTTCAAAAACAAAGATTTACAGCCTCAGAAACCCTATGGGTTCTACTTTGTTCTCTGGAGTCATTATGAGTCAGGATTGACTTGTTGAGAGTGCCTTTGATTTTGGAATGCTTTTTCAAAGCACTTTTATTTCTAGTGTCTCCAGGTAACTGGATTAAAGCTGGAAATGGGCTTGTTTCCTTGCATTTTTCCGACAGGAGCACTTAAGTCATGTTGTTGTTGCTGTGTGCTGGCCAGTGGGTTCCAACTCATAACGACCCTGTATAGGGTTTCCAAGGCTATATATCATCACAAGAGCATAAATCCTCATATTTTTTCTGCAGACCAGCTGGTGGATTTGACCTGCTGACCTTGCAGTTAGCAGCCCAATGTACAACCCGCTAAGATAAGAAATGCTAAATAATTTGATTAGGTTCATGCACACAATTCATGCTAGAAGCAAGACTAGATCTCAGGAAAAGGTGCCACACACTTTTGGTAGGAACAATTGCTAAGCATACATCACATTACAGAAGGGCTACCTGAAGGTATTGGCAGGAACGTTCTTTTTGGCAAGACTCGGCCTTCACCAGCGCTTGGTCCACGTTCACAGAGGCTTTCTGGTAAACCTCCCGGGCTCGGCTCACAGTCAGAGTTGAGGACCAGGCACTCTTCTTCAGGAGCGGGGCATCTAGACTGACAGGCAGGTTGGCACAGGTGGAACACTTGACATCATTGTTACTCCGGGATGCCTTCACCGCCTGCTCACTGATAGTGTTGTAGGCTTCCATGAAGTACTGCGAGGCAGAGCGGTCAGGGCACCTGCCCATGGTCATCACACCCGAAGGGGTGTGGTAGATGCACATGTCGCCGTTCAGGTTGTCATCCGAGCTCCACCACCCAGGGGAGACGTTGGAGCGTGCTTTGGGCTCAGCACGCCGCTCCTTGCTCTTGCTGCGCTTGGTGTATCTCATGGTCTGAGTGTCGTCTGGGCTAGCTTTGCCCCCATTGACGCTGCCCTTGGAAGGCCCCTCCAGAGAATGAGACTTGGTGAAGAGCTTCTGGACCGAGTGGACCAGATGCCGGATGCGGCCGGGGCTGTCGCTGCGATGTTCCACAGCCGTGCGCTTGTATTGCAGCGTGTGGTAGCCATCTCGGCCGAGAGGCAGCTGCCTTTCAAACTGATCCAGGAGATTGGGAGGAATGCGGTTGGCCTTGGTGGCCAGGGTGCGGGGCACCAGGGCGCACTCGTCCTTCAGCTCCTGCTGTGAGGTGTAATGCCGCCGTGGGAAGGTGCTGCTGGCCAGCGGGTCGCTGAAGGGGCCCACGCACTCAGCCTGGAAGGAGTTGCGCTGCGTGTAGTAGGGATGGTCAGCCGGGTGGTGGTCCACTGGGCTCAGTAAGTATGGCTTGCGGTCTGAGTGGTGCGAGAGTGAATCGCAGGCAGAATCACAGGTGACTCCGTGGTGATGGCTGCGGCTGCCCGATAACCCTTTCATTGCTGATGGGCAGCAACCGACAGGGTCATTGACACCCCTTGGTCAGGTTCCAGACCCCTCTCCAGCAAAGACCTGGAGGAGTGAAGAAAAAGAGGGGACAGAGTTAATACTTCGCTGGGTAAATAGATATGGTTCTCTTGTAGGAGTCTGCTACTGCCTTGTTGGGAAAGCTCCTTCACCTCTGTGGGCTGGGAAAGCTAACCCCATAGCTTAGATGAGAAAATGAAAGGTGTAAGAGCTATTAAACTTGGACAAGGAAACAATAAATACTAAGTCTTTAAAAAACTGTTTGAAAGAGTAAGCCTCCTTGCCCTCTGGTTCCAATAATTGAATGTTTCTTTCCCTTGCTTCTGTTTTTATTCTTAACTGTTTTTTGTTTTTTTTTTTAGAGAAAGCACAGGGAGATGAAGTGACCCAGTGGCTGTAACAGTGGACTCGGACTTAACAACAATTGTGAGTATAGCACAGGATTTAGCAGTTTCACTTTGTTGTACATAGGATTGCTAGTAGGACCTGACATGATGGTACCTAACAACAAGAAGTGAATCTTAAAAGAAGGCACGCCCAAAGGTCTCAGTTCCTCTGAGACCTTGCCATACACTGACAGGCAGAACTAGCTCTCATCCTATCCTTCATAGCATCTAATGTAAACCCTGCTGGAATGTATTAGAATTGTTTGCTTTGGACTAGCTCTTTCTTCTAACTTAAATTCTCTGATGACAGGGCTATTTCTTTGGCTAATATACTTGACTCTGGACCAAGTGATTAGCAATTTGAGTCTACCAGGAGGCACCTCAGAAGAAAAGCCTGGTGACCTACTTCTGATATGCTCAGAGTAGAACTGAAAACGGAAGAACTCCCTATGGCTTTTCCATGACTTACTTTATGGAAGTAGATTGCCACGTCTTTCTTTTGAGGTACCTCTGGGTGAACTCAAACCTCCAACTTTTTGGCTAATAGCTGTGTTTGCACTATGTGGAGATACCTTTTGGTAATTATTAGTTGTTGTCAAGTTGATTCTGACTCATGGTTGATTTCATGTGTGTCAGAGTAGGATTGTGCTCCAGAAGGCCTTTAAGGCTGTAAAGAACCACCAACCTTTCAGCTAATAGTTGAGTGTTTTACCAATTATTCTACTCAGGGACTCTTGAAGAGGGTTGCATTGATATTTTTAAGCAAAACTATGGCAACAAACTAATTTAGATGGAAAAATTCATTGTATGAGAAAATCTTTCTCTCAAATAAAAATTTGAAAAATAATAAACAAAAAACACATTATGGTCACTTAGTGTCTTATGATCATATATAATAGAATGTTGTATATAAAATGACAGAAATAATGCTCAGGCTTTCCTTTGGAAGCAGCTGGGTCTTGTGTAGGTTTTTTCTGTTAAATAAAATTCGAAACTGGTGTAAGTGCTGAACACATGAATTATACATATTTATTTTTAAATGTACAGGATTATTTTAATCATGTAGTCAATATCTTTAATACATGAACAGAATTTCCTATAAGATGATATTACCTGTAGACAAGTAGAGCAAATGAAGAGCCTTTTTAAGGCCATTAATAATGAATTAAGTTAAACGATGCAACAGATGATGGTTTTTATAAATTAAACATAATGTGATTTTTTTTTTTTTTTTTTTTTTTTACTAAGTAAGCTATTTCAGTCAGTCAGTCTTCGGATTACAAACATCCAATTTACTGAACGCATTTGCCATTAATGTTATGTAAATTTGCCCTCACTTTGAAAGAATTGAACCCACATCTACTTGCAATAAATTTTTCATCTTTATCACCCTGACTTGCTGCGCATATAGCTTTTCATTCATTGAAAAGGCTTAAAGGTTAAATAAGAACTGTGTGAGTCTGTTCTGAGTTACAAATTTGACTTGAAGATATACTTAGGAACTGATTTTGTTCATAACCTGGGAGCTGTCTGTTTAGGGATATGCATCTATATGTCTTAAGAGGACAATAAAGTATATCAAGGATAAATAAGCTAACTTTCTCTTTTCTAAACGTAAACCTCTTGTTGTTATATGCCATGGAGTCTGTTTTGACTCACAGTTTATGAGAACAGAAAGCCTCATCTTTGTCCTGTGGGTCAGCGGGCAGGCTTGAACTGCGTACCTTTTGGTTCATGGTCCAGTGCTTATAGTATGGATCCACTGTGCTTCCTAAACTTTGTTACTAACTTTGAATTATTATTATTTTTTTAAGTTACTAAAAGGTTACTAAGATCTCTGTACTCTATGATGTGGTTAAATTAGGTCATGAAAAATAATGGCAATAAATACTCATAAGCATTGATCAATGTGTCACCTACTTTCCTGGTCAAGGTCAGATAACTGACTTGCTACCTGGTATGGTGCTGTAGGATCAATGTTGGAACTGACTCTGGAGTGCTTAACGACAACAACCTTGACCTATAGAAAAACTGCACCCTTTCTTCTACCCTTGTCATTTTAAAAGGAAACTATATCATTTAAAAATAATAAGATAAAGCAACACGTTTGTTGAATTCCTAATGTGTAGAGGCAGAAACTCTAAACCCTAATACTGTTGACAATGCTGGCACAATGCTGCTTGCAGTTGTCCACATAGTCACTCTTGCTCTTCTCCATCTTCATTTTCTACTTCCTGTCTTTAATCTCCTTTCTAGACATTTCTTACTGTCATTCTTTCTTTCCCCATCTAATTCTTGTTTATTAACCCATGGGCATCACATCCTACCAGTGTGGCATGAGCCACAGCACCACTAAAGACATGAACAAAGCATCCCTCATGTGAAGGTCGGTGCTTGCTGCTAAAGAAGATGACCAAATGCATACAGCAATATCCCAAGGGCCAGAAGGCCTATCAAAGGTCCAGAAAGGCATGCCCAAGCCAGATGAGATGAATAGCTATTTTTATTTTTTATGCATTTTTAAAGAAGGCAGCTGCTAGCTGCCCCTGCTTTAGATTTTAAGTGGCTGTAAAATATTTCTGAAAATAGTAAAGGAAATTGCCTTTCACGCTTTGCTTTTTGGGTCAACATGCCTTCACGAGGGTTTCTATGACTACAGTGATCATCTCTCATAGTTCCTTGTTCAGTATGACTTTAAAATCATGTTTTGTTGTCCCCCTAAGGTCATTTCTACCACAGACCATATGTTCTTAGGTTTTGACTTGGAAAATGTGTTGACTGTATTGTTGACCATGACGTCAGCTCTACTCTCTTAAACAGTCCCACATCTGGAGCATAGCACTGCTATACAGTTGATGACTCTAGCAAGAAAGATCAAGCACTAAGAATGGAATTCTCAAGATAGGTAATTTATTTGATCCAAGGAAAACAACAGACTGCACATTAGGAGATGCTGACATGGGAAAACAGTCCTGCAAAGTTGGCAAGTCATTCCATTTTGCTTTCTGTGTATGTCTTTATTTAGAGCTGCTGTTCTATATTTTTCTTTACATGCAGTGAAAGAAGCCAACTGAAGGCCCTAGACTGTCTTCCTTAAAGAGTAAGGCAATCATGGAGCTAGGCAATCATGGAGCCAGGCAATCATGACTTGTTTTAGAAAGAACAATGTGGTGGATCGTGCTCAACAGAAATGGGAGCATTGTGCTCTTGTTTCAGGAGACAGTGTTCTCTGCCTGCGACCCACCAATGCCAGGTTACATTCAATGGAAGAGAAAGAAAGGAGTTTTCTTTTGGAAAAGTACAAAGAAGTCCCAGAATAATGGATACATTTCCCAGTCTTCCTAGATATGGATATGTGATGAGTTCCACTCAAGAAAATCGAATTGGAAATGGTATGCACAATTTCTAGAAAGTGTCTGTAAATTGACGAGCATATCCTTAACTGTTCCCTGGCTGGAATGCAGACATGAAGACTAGATGAGCAATGATGTTGTACCAAGATGTGGAGGTTACAGTTTGAGGATGGGAGACCTGCAAAGACTTGGCCAAATGGAATGTTATTCTCCATCCAGGACTAGGTACCTCTGCATTGTGTTTATGTGAGAGAAAAACAGACTTTTATTTGGCCTAAATCACGATTAGTTTGCTTTTTACACTTCATTTTCTGACACTTACTGTATGAATGTATTCTTATGTGTAGACTTTAATTCCTAAGGGTACCAGGAACAGATCATGGAGACCTTCTGTATGCTATGCTAGAATAGTGAGGTTTTTTTTGTGTAGGTGATAGCACTCCGTTAGATGAGTTTATAGTAGATACATTTGTATTATAGATTTCTCTGTAGTTTGAGAATAGATTTTGGGCTGAGGAGAGGCAAAAAGACCTAAAAGAAACAGTTATTTGTTGCTTGGATAATTTATGATAGCAAACTGAAGTGGAGAAAAGAGTACCCCAGAAGAGGGTGAGGATGCCCTGACCCACTGGGCAGTTCCCACATTTCAACCAACCTTGAAACATATTTATGTCTCAACCACAGTCTAAACACACACGGGGCACTTTGTCTAGACAGAACAAAATCCTCCTCTGCTATGTGGATAAAGAGCTTTTACTAGTAATTTTTTACTCTAATAACAATAAACCCCAATTCTATGGGGATAGAGAAAAGGGAACTGTATGAATATGCAACTGGCTTACAATTTTAAATAAAAAAAAAAGTGAAAGGTTTGCATTAACATACTACTAAAAGACAAAGCAATGCCATTTTAGATTAAGGAATTAACATTGACAAAAGATCTACTTTTTGGATTTTTTTTTTATCTGAATTTGTACCTGCAATGAATAGTTGAATATCATTTTCTTTTACTTTCTCAGACTTCCCTCTTTGAAGGTTTTCGTGAATTGTATACAGAAAGCCATACAAATTCCATTAGAATATTTTTAAATAAACACATTCTATAATACACCAGTTATATTACTCCCAATGCTGAATCATTTTATGTGTGCGGAATGTATTTTGGCTTTTCATTAACATCAACTGGCATCCTAATCATCTGCAGTTTATATTATATTTATGAAGGCCTCCTTCAATCAATCTGCTCCTGAAAATAAACGCCTTTACATATTCAAAAGATATTGTATTATATATAA